GCCCCCGCACGGCCCGCCCCGGGGCGGCCCCGGACCGGCCCCGCCCGCGCCTGGAACGGCCCGGAGCAGAGGCCGGCAAAGCAGGGCTACCCGCAGCCCTGGCTAGGACCCCGCTTCGTAACCGCCTCAATGTGCGTCCTGTATTGTGGGCCGTAAGCGTTCCTCGTTTTCTGTTCCCTTTCTGTGTTACGACTTTTAAAAAAATGTGACATTCTTGAATGTTCAAATACATCACAAAGCTGGGCTCGTAAGATAAGCACCAACTATCACAAGGCTGTGTATTAAAACTCCTGCAAACGACAGTGCTCCCAATTTATGTCTTTCAAAAAACGACCAAGGTACCAAAATTTAAGCCCTGTAACTGAAATAACCTTCTGTTCTCATGAAGATGGTGCAGAAATCACTGATTCGATGCTGGCTCAGGATGGTTGCTTCAGATCCCAAGTATCTCAGTTCCTACCATAAAGGCTTTTTTTGGCACCCTCTGTGACCTTAGTTCTGGGTATTGGCCACCAGCAAAAAATCCATTTCTATAGAACTCAAAAGAGGGTCAAAATGTACAATAGGCTAGTTTATTCAGGATACTATGCAAACAATTAAGAAGCATCTGTCCTTGTGCTTCAGTAAACTTAATGGTTGCTCATGGTTGCCAGGAATGAAATAATGTTTCCATTGTGTAATACTGCAAAGTTCCCTCCTATGCATAAAATTGCTTTTGGTTTGGTTTGTTGGAGTTTTTCTTCCCCAAGTATATAGGCCATCCCAAAAGAAAATGCCTGACGTAATATCCCAATAACCTGTTCCAGTTTTGCCACTCCTGTGATCTTGTTAAAAGTATTTCTTCTATTAATCAGATAACTTTCTGTGTATGAATCACAGCTTATCCTTTGCATAAAGGATACCTTGAAAAAAAAATAATACGGAAATAAAAATTAATATAACACAGGAAGCCTAAAATTACTATTTTAGTGGGATTTGTTATCCTAGGTAAGTATTTCTTCTTAAGGTATATCCCTTAGAAAATGCACAAAATATTTTCTCAGATTGGCATCAAAAGTAGACAAAATATTCTTGATGGCTTGCCTTATAAAGTATTACCACTTAAACTGTATTCCTCCTCTACTAACATAATTTTTTTTTCCTAAACATTAACATTTTTTAATATCATTAGCCCATATTAAACAGATAACCTACCGTATATCAGTATCAACTCATACTTAGTTGGTTTTAAGTCTATTAACGGTCACTGCTTGCACCTTTCCTGAAAATTTTGGTGTATTCTGCAAGTAGATGCACTGAATTAACTCAGAGTTCTTCTGAAGTAAGGGTCTGGATTAGTGTCTAAGTCCCTTGTACCTTAGGCAATAAGGGGGGACAATTTCTAGCAGCACTTAGTGATGAGTCTGCCTTAGTGGTCCATACAGACCAACAAATCTGCCTTGCATCTTTTCCATCTGATGGTCTTTCTGGCCATTGTTACAGTTTGATTACTGGACAAGATGGATCTGGGGGCTGACAGAGTCTGTCAGATACCACACACAACACAGCAGCAACAGAATTGGACCCTGAGGTTTCCTGTCCATACAGCGACGTGACAAACACTTACCAGAAAAGCACTACTCATTAGACTTTTTTTGTTACTAGAGAACAACTTGGATTAATTATAGTTTAAAAAAAATATTTCTGATTGAATGCTTGCAGTTCTTTACACATGTGGTTTATATTACTGAAATAATATTTTTTTCCTCCTGGAAATGAGGATTTTTGGGGGGTATTTAAGACATGAGAAAAGTGCAAGAAAATATATCTAATAATCCATTGAAATTTAAAAAGCAGCAGTTCCCATATCTCTTTGAGATTTCTCAGATAGAAGTACGTATAGTCTGTCCAGTGTATACACAATGAATCCAATGCCTCCATGAAATATTGAATTTATTGGATGTCAGTATAAGATTACATCATGTGCAATGTAGAGTGGATCTGCACACAATGAAGTCAGCCTGCCCAGAGTGCACAATGTATGATGTAAACAATTTGCATAGTGCAAATAAACCATGCAGTTCACATACTGCAAGTGATGTACGTCCCAGGCATACCAGCCGCTGCAGATGGGACAGTCACTCTGCACCGGTAGGTACAGTAGAATTTTTTATAGCTGAAGGTAGCACAGCACTTTTTTTAAAAATTTGCCTGCT